CACTTCACAGGGTCAGCTACTTCGATTCCTTGCGATCTTCCTACGGCACGAAATGAGCAAAAACGCATAATCGCACCGGCCCGCCTGGTGCGTTCCAGCCTGGGTTTTTTGAAATGATGACGCCTGTCTAGCAAGGCCAAAGTAATTGCTGATGAAAAATGCTTTAAGAAATGCTTTCGGGGGCCTTTAACCACAGAGTGAACTTAGGGGTACGAATTCAAATTCGCTTTTTCACAAAGCAACTTTAAAGCTATTTCTTGAATTTAAGAGGGACAGCGCAATCAGTGATACGCCAATTGTAGTATTCAGGTTGACCTTGGATGCCAAAGTATTGATAGCATATAGATATTTTTTTAGGCCTCAGGGCATCACAAGGGACCATGTGTAGCTCGTGGTCAATATAACTCTGTGCGTACCTCTTCTGCGCGTCCTTCTGGCTATTAATTTTTTCGTCACTATGTCCTCATCAAATTGGTTTTCACATGATCATCGCGTTATCCATTGCAATTCAGCCAGAACTGTTGTTGTTGCACCTCCATAAAACTACTCCTCCCTGTGGAAGTTCCGCACAGTGCTCCTTCAACTAACTGATCAAACAAACTGACTAATAATTTAGCTAAAGTTATTTTTTTATAGCAATACTTGCGTTAGGCTCGCTGCACTGGAGTTCGAACTTTGACAAAAGCAGCGGATGATGAAAAATATGTTGTTGAAGAGGATCCGACACGCTCGGGCTTCACCATCGGATTCACTATTTCCAGGCCCTGTACAGGAGTGAAGGTAACACTGGAAGCTGTGCCGGCTGCACGTGATCGAACCGAAGTCACACCACCCATTGCTCTCTGGCGTTCCATTGTTTTTTGAAGTTTTTGCGACATCCTGAAATATTGGATGTGACGCGTACAACAGATCTGAAGTTCTGATCCCAGTAGGAAACTGTTAAGTTAGTGGCCAGTGATTAAGGAAAGTCCCTATATCCAGCTAAACAGATCGATCGAAAACCAAGCATTCTAAAAAATCAGACCGCGTAATTTCAGACTTTAAATGGGAAAATTAACAGCAATATTTGATCCACTTGGCAACTCCGTGAAAAGGAAGATTAGTTCATGGCAGGAATAAGATCGATTAGAGTGGGAAACCCATTAAGACATACCTGGCTCTTGTTTTTGGGTCGACTGTCGCGTTCCTAATGCGGCCTCCCGAAGACGGGCCGCTGAGTGCTTGACCAAGTGAGAATCCCATGTTTTCCTGTATCACATCTTCGCTTAGTTCACCGAAATTCATTCGATTCGATTTTCGCCGCAGTTCAGTCATGCCCAATCGTTCTTTCATTTTTCGTACCCGCCGTCCTCCTCGTTTCTTGCTGGCCTAAAATTCACATCCTTATCAACTAACATGTATAAATTCACACACATAATTGTCGTTGACTGATTTTTTTGCCTTTCTTCACTCATTTGCCGAGGGCTGCCACTCCTCTATTTTCTCTCTGATTTTTATCAAAGAAATCGTACGTCAGCAATTCCATATAATCTTGATGAAAAATTTGCAACAGTTGCATTCAAGATGGAGGGAGCGAGAAAGAGAGCAAGCTGGGATACGACATATTCTATCACCCGCTTTGAGTTGCTAAAAACACTTGGCAGTTTAAAATAAAAGGGAAAGCTTCCATCAAGAGTCCCGAAATTCAGTCACGAGGGTGAGAGAGAAGTTGTCTGGTTAACGGAAAATCCAATTAGAAAGAATCAAAAATTAGACAAATTTAATCAAAACGGCAGTGAAGTACCAAATAATGTTAACAATTGAAAAACAGATTCGAAAACGCTGAAATGTGTTCGAAAAAAAGCTAATGCCACTCTTTCAAACGAAAAGCTGTCAGAAATGTCCCCTCCCTTAGCCGTTACCACAGCTAGGTTTCGCTGAAAATTAAGATAGCTAAAATATAACTATTTCGTCGAAAACTAAGAACTCGTTCGTGATTAAACTATACGCATTAACGCCACGCAACATTTTTAATAAAGCAAATTAAATTAAGTCGTTTTCTTGCCGAAACTGATAAAACCCACCTAAAAATTCAAAAAAAAAAAAAAAAAGCGGAACTGGTACCTTATCCAAGGGTTTTGGCAGGGGTTTTGCAGCTTTAACTGGTGGAGGCTCCAACATTTTTTCTATTTTTTGCTTGATCTGTTCGAATAAATTTTTCCCAATTGCGCCATCCGATGATTCGTGTATGAAATCGACACGAGCAGCCAGTGTTGTTTTCGCCGCCAGTAATCGAGCTGCTTTTTGTCTTAAATAAAACGTTATGAATGATCAAATTCTTCATCCAATGTAGCATTTTTGCCAAACATCTCTGCAACCACAGATGTAATCTTTAATAAGCCCTCCACGATAATTTTTGGCAATTCTCATGCTCAACTTGGAAGAATGTGTGAACGGTCTCCGAGGGCAATCTTAAAGACCACACAATATGTGAACGGAATGCAGAAAAAAGCCTGGATAACACGACGTTTGGCGAAGTAAAGTAATCAAGAACTTTGGAAAAATACGCCAATACTTATCAAAATGAAAAATTTTTTGAAGGAAATCTGGAAAAATTTCGATTTTATAATTCTGGAAAGTTCTCCAAACACTAACACCCCTATAAATAACAACAGCCAAATTTATTTCGAGAGCTATAACAGAAGGTTCGGAAACAAAAGAAGGTACCACCAACGGGCTCGAATCATATTTATAGAAAAGCGAATTGGCGCAACCAGCCCTTTTTGAAAAAATCAAAGCGGTCCCATAATAAATCGAGGAATAAAAACTTTTCTACAAACAATCATAGACGGTGTGGTTTCCTTCCCCATTCCTCCCCCTCC